CCCACCCACCCGCACTACACCCCCCCCACCTGCCCGATGCACGCCACGAGCAGCCAGCCAGCCACGCCACGTACATGTGTTGCATGTGTGTGGATGTGGATCAGTCCGTCAATCAGCCGACAGTGACGCCCGAGACGAGCATGGCGGTCTCAGTGAGCTCCTCCCTGGGTGTGTTGGACTCGACCGACAGTGCGTTGCCCGCCGTGGGGAACGGCAGCGACAGGGGCGCACTCCCCATGTGGCGGACGGGCGGCTTGGGCAACACGAACCTGACACACAAAGGCACAGAAAACGGGCCAGCATATGAACATGGTGTCGGCAGCTAGATAAGAGTATGTGGTGCATCGGTCGGTGTAGTGCGCACCGCAGTGCTGTGACGGATCCGTGGTCCACGACAACGCCGGCGCAACCGAAGCGGAGAAGCGTCTGCTTGACCGACTCCAGAAACACTTCCAAACGCTCCTCTGCACACCAACCACACAATCAGAGAGGACACACACACACGACAGGAGAGAGATGAGGGATGAGAGGTCCAGAGCCCTTCCATGGCGCTTGTTGGCCTTACTTACCGAGGTCACAGCAGTAGGGCGGCGTGATGGGCTCATCCTCCCCGTCGCTGTCCCTCGTACTAGCAGATGGGCTCGGCACCGAGTGGCTGACCAGCGGGCTCTCGCCGCACCCCACGCGCATGACGACCACCCTGCCGGCACCACGAGTCGTGTCGACGAGAATCTCGGCGCCCGTCGCCTCCCACTTGACATCGGAGCTGTCGAGCTGCTCGAAGTAGTGGATGTGGGCGTCGCTGCTCGTCGGGCGGCTCGGGTCGGGCCGGACGGCACTGCACGAGGTCAGCGTGCGGGCGATGGTGAGACAGGCTGCCCGGGAGGTGAAGGGGTCGTTAATCGCCACGATGCGCGCACCGGCGTCGGCCGCAGCGCGACAGACGAGCCGCCCTACTCTGCCGAAGCCGTTGATGGCCACCTTCAGCTCCATCGGACTCGGTCCTCTCACACAGGGAGAAGGCAGCAGCAAACCCGCTCTCGGGGTGCGCAGGCGGCAACCAAACAGAGAAGGTTGCTTGCGGAGCCTGCCCCGCGCCTTGTGTAGACACGGACGGACTCCTGTCGCTGCCACGCGCCTCCCAGAAACGAAAACAAACGAAACAAACGCACAGCAAAACACCCCCTCGCGATTCTCGACGACTCACAGATTTACAGACCTTTCTCATCGCGTCGAGCAAAGCGTTGGACAGCGTGTCCTCATTGTGACGACCGATCGATCATACATATACGTACGTGACGCATTGACAAACATTTGACTGTCTCTGTCTTTCTGTCGGTTGGCACACGACGACATCAATCAAGTCACAGTCACAGTCACTATGACGTCGGCTGCTCGTCTGCTTTGGCTGGTGACTGTCGCGGCTGTCGTCTGCACGCCCTCACACGCACTCATCCCGTGAGCACCACAATGACACTCACACAGACAGACATCCGATGAATCAATCCTCTTTCTCTGTGTGTCTTCAGAGGTCTGGAGGGTGTGTTGGGGAGTGCCATTGGTGTGCCTCAGCCTCAAGCCGCCGCTCCGATGATGGCGCCGCCAGCCGCACAGCCACCAGCACCAGCCGCAGCAGCAGTGGGTGGTGTGCCGACCGAGGAGGAGGAGGAGGAGGAAGAGGGCGCGGCGGCAGCCACACAGACACAACGTGACACAGACAGAGACACACAGAGAGAGAGGGAGAGACACTCACATGTGGCTGTGTGTGTGATATTTGGCGTTGTGTCGTCGGCAGTTGAGTCTCAGCTGAGTGCGGCTCAGGTCGGAGTGGCAACACTTCAGGAACAAACCAACAGACTCAACGCACAACTCGCAAAGGGTAACACAAACACAGACACACACAGACACACACAAATGCGATTCACACATCCATCTCTCTCTCCTTACGTATGTGTGTGTGTGTCAGTGTTGAACGACAGGTCGGCGCTGCAGTCGGCGCTCAAGGCCTCGCAGGACAAACTCCAACACATCGAAAGCGGCGCCGAAAATGCCGTCAACCTCCAACTTCAGTCAGTCAGACACCACACAATCCTCCCCCCCTCTCTCTCTGTGTGTGTCTCACGTGTGTCGACTGATGGATGAATCAATCAATCAACAGGTTCCCCGGCCAGGCTGCTGGCAAGGCGGCCGCCCCGGCAGCTCAGCAGCAGCCGCCCGCGCCCGTCAGTGTGCCGTTTGGCGGGCCGATCGTCATTGTCCGCAGCGCGGCCGCACACCACGCCACGCAGACAATGATGAGCTTCAGAGGCGCCACACACAACAAACAGCACAAGAGGACGGCATGAACAAGCGAACGGACGAGACAGGTGCAGACACACAGAGAGGCAGGGCGTGTGTTGATGGCTGATGGCGTGCTCGGTGTGTGTACGTGTTGTGCAGGCGTGTGAGTCAATGGGGGACCACTGATGGATGGATGGATGGATGGATGCGGCGGACAGACAGACAGATACGAATACGTCGCGAATGTGCGTGCTTCTGAAAGAGCTCCTTGCAATAGTTTGGATGCGAACATGTAATCAACCGTCCCAGCGCATGGACACACGGACAATCTTACCCTTAACCACCACCCCGCTCCTTCCGGAGTGCGAGCTCAGACTCATAAGCTCGCAGAGCGTTCTCTCCCTCCTTCCCCTCGAGAGAAGACAGGAAAGCTTCCCCGGAGTGCGCTGGTGCAGCAGTACTTCCGTCAGCAGTATGCGCTTGTCGATCAATTTTTGGGGGTTTTATTATACTTCCAACATCCCCGAGCAATGGCAGGGCGTTTTCGATTGCATCTTCGCTGCCTTTTTCGCCATCCTTGGTGTGGTGCTCTTCTCTGTCGGCGTCAGTCTGACGACTCGGGCGGCAGCCCTCAACCCTGCCGCTGATTTCGAAGCCCTCGGCCGAGTGTGCACCATCACTCACATAGAGTCTTCGGCAAAGCTTATCAGGGTCCCTGAAGATCACACAACGATGCCGGCGTATATGAAGACGCACAGCCTACCTGGTGACCGTGGCAACGTCCGCTGCGACGTGAACTACAAGTACTCTTTCACGGCCGGTGACGGAACAGCAGAATACACCTCATGGATCGAGACGAAGTCACAGTCCGGCCTCTGCCCACCCGCACCGGCGCTCCTGCACCTAGAGACGTTTGAGAGAGGCGATGTCGTGGACTGCTGGAGAATTAGAGACGGCAAGGGGAAGGTCGCTGACTCGTACCGATGTGGCAACAAGCCGCACTGCTACAAGATCTTCAACCCTGTGCAAGAAATCAAGGATCAGAAATCTGACGGGACGGTGTTTATGATAGTGGGGGCAGTGTTTTTTGCAGTGGGCCTTGCATCTCTGCTCTGCGTTCGTTACTGGGGTTTCTTGCTCCAGCTCGTTACTGGATGGATACGGACAGACAGGCGTGACGATTAACCGAGACGGATGTGTCGAATGTGTTGAATGTGGTGGAAAGGCCATGCATGCCTGCATCCATCCATCCATCAATCAGATGGATCAATCAGATGGTGGGCGGGTGCGGCGTGGGGGGCTGGACTGCTCTGGGCTGTCGATGACGTAGGCTGTGTGTCTTTCTGACCTTTTTTATGGGATCTGTATGGGTGGGCGGTGGGCGGCTGGATGCAGCGTCCGTGCGTTGGCAAATGATCTGAGCTGTAGTCAGTCAGCTTAGCTTTTTGTCTGACCCGATGGCCAGATGTGTGATGGTGCGTGTGCCCTGACTTAAATCACTTTCCGATGAATCAATGAAATAATCGACAAAGGCTCTGTCTACCTGCCAGCCGCCCCCAATTTGGCCGCCCCTCATGCGTGCATCCAATGCAGGTCTGCTCGCACACACCCCTATCTCTCACACCGGACACGGTCTGCTTGCGGGGTCTGCACCCGGCTGGGGCCTGCGAATGTGCGTGACGGAATGACATGAGAGGTGCTGACATTAACCATCATCGTGTTTTGATCCGATTCATGTCCAACGCACGAATGTCCCATCCCCACCCACATCGATGGATGGATGCGGCGATCGATGCACTCACATAAAGCACGACCACCACAGCCACAAAAAAGGCAACCTGTGAGTGACACACAGCCATCCCCCCACGCGTCAGTCAAAGGGCCCATAAAACCCCCTTTGGTTTGTCTATCTAGCTACCGACACACACACACACACACGTACTCAGACAACAGAGAGGGTGGACCCCGGCACGGCCTCGTGTGAATGCCTCGTGTGAATGGATGGAATCCTCTCTCTCCAAGCTTGCGCACGGGAGAAGACAGACACCATCCACGCCAGCAGAGACACAGAAGAGGGAGGCAGAGGAGGGAGGTGAGATTGAGAAGAGGAGGCCAACCAACTGAAAGGAAACCAGGGCGAGAGAAAAAAGCAGGCGCACGACGGACGAGACACCGACTGCAATTGACACGTGTGTCTATCGCCCGGTCCCTCTGCACTGGCCAGCTGTGCCACGGCACCGACTGCACACACAACACACAGAATTCCCCACAGGGCATTCCATTTGTGTGGTCTGCAGCGCACATCCCTCTCTCTGCCGGCCCGGCCTTACCCGCCCGACGCCATGGCCTGGAACCGCTGAGCTCTGAAATTCGTCACCGGGCCCAGTGAGCGGCCTACACAGACACACGCACACACACGTTGCCATCGTCCTTTTCTGTCTGTCTTGCGTCCTTTTCTGTCTTGTGCTCCTGGCCGGCCGCCCCGTATGCTCACGTGAGGTGTAAGAGCCGGTATTAAAGAAGACCTGATTGCCCACCTGACCACGTGTCAAACCGACAGCACAAGAGGACGGCATGACAGAGTGAGGCACAGACAGACAGACAGACAGAGAAGGACAGACAGACAGGTTCAGGCATGCGCAGGGAAAGAGACAGAGAGAGAGAGATGAGCACGTCGGTGTGTGTGTTGTGCAGGCGTATGCGGCGAATGCGTGAGGACTGATGGATGGATGGATGGATGGAAGGATACGGACAGACAGAAACGAGTACGTGCGAATCTGTTGAATGTGTTGACATTGTATCAAGTCGCACTCACACGAAAGACTAAGCTTCTTGACGAGATGCGTTTTGGCGAGTCTTAAGATACACACGCACACACATCGATCACGACAGCCAGCCAGCCAGTCCATCGAGATGAAAAACGGCCACGTACGTGTACCTGACGGACCACAAGTGGGTGTGTGGGGCGTGAGCAGCCAGACACTGCATGTGACACTCGACTCACATTGTCACTGCGGCACTTCATCCGTCCCCTCACTCCTTGCATGGTGTTTCAAACCATTCACCCTCTCTCCGTCCGCACACACCGCAGACACAATCTTGTACAAGAGAGAGAGAGAGAGAGAGCGGGAGGAGGAGAGCCACACACGCCTCCCCTCCCTCCCCTCCTCTCCCCACCCGCAGCCATACACACAACACACTTCGGCGACGAAGCTTGCCGCCTCAGTCAGCCGCCACCCACTCTACCCTACAACGCCACCTCGAACCCAACTACCCCCACCCTCTGGCTTGATGTATGTGGTTGGTGGATGTGCCGGGTGGGTTCGATCAGGCCATGGGCCCGTGGGTGATGGGTTGCGAGTTGAGGGCCTTGATGGGGTTGTTGGAGCGGTCCGGCAAAATGCAGTCCGGATGGATACCCGCTCTGTCAGGCAGTCAGTCAGTCGTGACACACAAAAAACACACACGAATGACACACCACACAAGACAAGACGGTCGACACACAGTGTGTGAGAGATCTGTGCTGTGTGAGTGCTCAGAACTGACTGACCTCTGGAGGTTCATGCGCTCGTGCCACCAGGGCCAGAGAACGGCGTGAGTGTCCTTGTCGTTCTTGATGCCATACGACCTGTGACAGAGAGAGACAGAGACACCTTTGCGTGTGCGCGGGTGTAGGGTACGTCCACACAGGCAGGCAAGCGGGCAGCTGCCGCTTCCGGGAGTGGGGCAGTGTTGCGCTGGTCTTGCTTTTCTCTGCTGACCCTCTGCTGTCTGTCTGTGTGTCCCTCCACCCTCCCACCCTCTCTCCCTCCGTCAGTGTGTGTGTGTCTGTGTGTGTGTGCGTGTGGCTTACCATCGGGCGTAGATATCGCCGAAGACGACGAAGGCTACGGAGGCGCGCATGGTCCGCACGCACCACTTGTCGGGCATGAGGATGCCCTTCTTCCCATAGTAAAGCGCCAAACGAGGCGCCGACAGAAACATCTTCGCAACCTGTTACTCCCTCCCAGCAGCTTCCCTCCGGCACTGCCACGGTTTCAGGGAGCACCCTACACGATTTTGCGAGCTGGCGTGCAGAGTTCCCTTCTCCTCAGAGCGTTTGCAGCAGTCCCAACTCGTGAGGACGAGGAGGATCCCTCGAGTGATCGCGGTTATCTTCCTGCTCAGTTCCGTCATTGATTGAGTCGCGGCGAGCGAGCAGTATTGCACGTGAAGTGAGTGCGGGATCCTCGTCTGTAAGTGTGTTGCCAGGCACAGGCATGGCTGAGGGATGACCATGGACGCCCTGTTCGCGGCCTTTGTGCCTGGGAGTTCTGAGGCCGTCAGCCAATGTGCCCATTGGGAGACCAACCTACCTCAGGCTCAGCGGCAGCAGCAGCAACAGCAGCAGCAGCAGCAGCAGCCAGAGGGAAGGAGGAAGGACGTAGCGAAGAACAGCAGCAGCAGCAGCAGGGCCAAGGACAGCAATCCCAGGCATAACCTGAAGCTCAAGAGGCCATCCATCAGCTGCAGCTGGTCCATCCACGACTGTAAGCTCACTCTCCCTCCTCCCTCCCCCCCATGGCGTGGCCCATGCCATCGGATGTCATGTGTCTGTCTGTCTGTGTGCATCCGGCTGTCCATCCATATATCAGTTGAGGAGAAGACCTTCCTCTCCGAGGGAGCATACGGGCGCGTGTACAAGTCTGAGTTCACCCCTGGGCGGCAGACGGTGGCCCTCAAGAGGCTGCAGCGGACGGAGTCGCGGCGGGACGGCAGGAAGGAGGAGCACAGGGAGAGGGACCCTTTTGAGGCCGCTGAGGGGGTACGTCACGTCAGTCATTCTGACACACACACACCCGCAGATGCCAGAGAGAGCAACACGACTGACTCTGTGTGTGTCTGTGCAGATTCCGATCATCATCTTCCGCGAGCTGATGTTTCTGCAGGAGCTGAGTGAGCGATCTGCAAACATGGGGTGGCTCGGCTCATCAACCGACGATTTCTATCTATCATGCGTGTGTGTGTGGGGGATGGTGGGTGGTGTGGCTGCAGAGCACAGGAATATCGTGCGCTACTTCGGCACTCTCACAGACAGTAAGGCAACACGCACACACACACACACACAGAGAGAGAGGGAGAGAGAGGACCCCTGTAAGTGTGTGTGTGTGTGTCCATGCACACAAACATCAGGGCCCGGCGTGTCGCGTCACGGCAGTGACGGCAGCTTGTCGAGCGACAGCCTGCGGGAGGAGCAGAAGGATGACTATTCGGCCAACATGATCTTCGAGTACGTCAACCACACCCTCCACTACCTCATTAACTACAGGGCCGGGCCGCACAAGGCGCAGCACTCAAACCCCTTCACAAACCTGGGCAACAAACTGCCGGTAAAAAAGCTAGTGTGTGTTCGGAAATGAAATGCCTCACGAACGATTCGATTGTCCGTGTGGTTTGGTGTGCGCAGTTCTCGGCTTTGGAATTTCGCGTGTTGCTGAAGCAGCTGCTGGATGGGCTCAACTACTGCCACAGCCACGGCATCCTGCACAGGGACATCAAAGGTAGGTCAGCCACCATGCCATGCCCATACACAGAAGAAAGCACTGCCACTGCATCCCCTTTGTGTGTGTGTTGGGGGGGGTCAGCCGCGAATGTGTTGGTTGACACGCGGGGCCGGCTCAAGATCATCGACTTCGGCCTGGCGGCGCGCACCAAATCCGGAGAGTCGCACATGTGCACCAACGTCTGTACCTACCCCTACAGGCCACCTGGTGGGGACTCCCCGGCCCCGCCCCGCCCCTCTCATCATTGCCTCTCTGTGTGTGTATGTGTGGCTGTCGCGGTGTGTGTGTGTGCGTGTGTGTGTGTGTGTGGTGTAGAGGTGCATCTGGGCTACACGGGTTATGGTGCGGACATCGACATTTTCTCTGTGGGCTGCCTGTTCGCCGAGATGCTGCTGGGCTTCCACCCCTTCCTCGACCAGCGGGAGCACAAGCACGACGGTCAGTCAGTAGTCAGTGAATGAGTGAATGAGTCACCCTGCCAATCTTTCCAACCACACACACACGGAGATGGATGGATGGACACGGGTGCTGGTCGGTGTGTTGTGCATGCAGATCATGACAAGAAGGATGGCCACCACATCCCCCCTGACGACATCTCCCTCTGGATCATGCTCGTGGTGAGTGAGCTCCGCCCTACCCCCCGCCCAGCCACACACCCCGGAAAATCCATCTCTCTCTCTCTCTCTCTCCCTCCCTGTCTGTGTGTGGCCCATCCCTCCCTCCCTCCCCACCAATCCAATCCGACAGCGTCTCGGTCTGCGGACCCCCAAGGGCCACGAGTGTCCTTATGTCGAATTCGGCGGGCCGGAGGAGCGAGACATGATCAGCGAGTTCCTCAAGAGCCTGCCCAACTGGGAGGACAAGTGCCGCAAGTTCGAGCGGCACGAGCGGGACCACCGGCTGCCCTGGCCCGACCACTTCCTCAACCTCTTCGACCACCCCAACCTGCAGAGGCTCAAACAGTGAGGAGGGAGGGGGAGGGGGAGGGGGTGGGTGTGGAGAGATTGTGTGTGTGTGTGTGTGTATCTGTGGTTGCGGTAGGTATGACCCTGACGCCTTTGATCTGCTCACAAAGATGCTCAATCCCAATGGAGGTGAGAAATCGTTAAATCGTTGTGCCGTCGTGAGGGACGAGATGAGATGAGATGGATGGATGGATGTGTGACTTGCAGCCCGTCGCATCACTGCACACAACGCCCTGCGCCACCCGTTCTTCACCGAGTGGGCGCAGCAGCCCATCCCCGAAACGTGAGACCACACCAGCCCACCCCTGCCACCCACACGCACTTCCTCGTGTCTTAATGTGTTTGTGTGTTGATTGCTTCATGACGATCGGTCCATCCATCAGGCTCAGCTGGGCGCTCATTCCCGAGCGGAAGCCGCCCGACATGAAGGTGCCCTTCGAGTACGCCGATATCAACGAGGTGCCCCCCTATATGCCGGAGCACGTCAGGCCCCCGCCCCCCTCTGACATCTCCCGGCCAATCCGCATCCTTCGGGTCCCACACGCACACGCACACCCACACGCCGGGATGTCTGGCATGTCGGTGTCCGCGCCATTCCATCCTCCGCCGCACCCAGGGTCTTGCCCGCCTGCCTCTGTCGAGGGGATCAACCTCTTCCCCCCGGCCCCGGCCGTGCACGGCCACGCACAGCCAACGGTGCCGGACGAGCTGGTGGACCATCAGATCCACATGGCGGGGGGGAGCACTATCAAGGTGCTCAAGCCGCCTGGCATGCCGCCCGGGCCGTTCGTCCCGCGGCAGCCGCAGCACGAGCCGCCGTGCCTTCCGCCTTTGCCGATAAGGCCCATCTCTCCCCGCCCACCGCCACACGATCGAGACCACCATGCCCACGAGCAGCAGCAGCAGCAGCAGCTCAACGGCGTGCATCCCCTCGCGCATCCAGAGGACGCCAGCCGGCCCACCTCAGTCGACAAGGACCGGTTTAAGGAGGTCTCAGAAGCGGCGAGAGAGGAGAGCGTCGGTGTCGGTCGCGGTGTCACCGCAAGCAAGAAGCGAGAGCCACTGCCGCTCCAAGAGGAGGTCGTCAGGAAGGCGGGGCTGGTCAACGGCAACGGCAGTGGCAGTGGGCGAGCATCCGACAGGGGAGAGAGGCCGCCCCGGCCCCCCCCAAGAGAAGGAGAGAGGCCCGCGCCCCCACCCCCCCTCCCACCACCAAGAGGCCGTCGATCGCTTTCCCCCTCTCCCCCTCCCCCTCCCCAGCCCCGCCGTGGTGAGCGTGACCGTGACCGTGATCGAGACCACCTCCCTCCCTTGCCCCCATCTGTCGGGCGCCCGCTGCCAAGCGGCCGCTGCCGAACGGCCAGAGAGAGGGAGGAGAGGGAGAGGGAGAGGGATGATAAGAGGCGGCCCCCACCCGCACCACCACCACCTCTCCCCGATGACGTCGACAGGAAACGCGGCCGCCAGCCCCCGCCCCTGCCGGCTCCCCCACGTAAACGAAGCCTCTCCCCGTCACCACGCGAGCCGAGACGAGATCGAGACCGAGATCGAGATCCTCCCCCGCCACGCAGGAAGCGCGAAAGAGAGCCATATCTTCCCCCCATTGAGGCGGGCTTTCGGCCGTCGCCTGGCCCGTCCCCTGACATGCGAGATCGGCGTGATAGGGGGAGGGAGAGGGAGAGGGAGAGGGAGAGAGACCGGGAGAGAGACAGAGACAGAGATCGGGAGGAGAGAGACAGAGGAGGAAGGTGAGCGCCGACCCAACACACCTTCCCACAGATCCATCCATCCGCTCACTCACACAGCTGCTGGAAGGATGGATGGAAATGTGCGTGTGTGTGTGTGTGTGTGCTTGTGTGTTTTGTGTTATGTGTCAGGGGGGGTTTGCGGCCTCGGCGAGACCGAGAGCGATCGGAGGATCGCAAGAGGGAGATGCGGGAGGAGGACCTCATCGACAAGATCGACAAGGGCAGGGACGCCAGCCTCTTCTTCAAGACAGAGCGGGAGAAGATGCTCCTGCGGGACAGGGACAGGGACAGAGACGCTGACCGACCCCCACCCAGGTACACCCTTCCACCCTCTCCCTCCCTCCCTCCACCCACCCATCCCCCTATATGTCCCTGCTGCAGGCGCGATCACCGAGACGGCGACCGTCCCAGGCGGCGCAGCCCGTCGCCACCGCCGGGCCCACCGCCAGCAAAGCGGCTCCGTTCAACGGCAGACGGCCCCTCTCCCAGAGAGACACAGAGAGACAGAGAGCGGGAGAGAGACCGAGGAGATCACCGTGTCTCTCCACGTATCTCGCCGCTTGGCAAGAGAGACAGGGAGAGAGACAGGGAGAGGGATGAAGGCCGTCGTGTGCGGATGCGTGTGGGGCCTGGAGGGCCTGGGGGTGTGTCGCCGCCCACTGGCCGGAGGGGCAGGGGGTATGACGGACATGACGGCACGCCGCCCCCACCTGGCACATGACTGACTGACTCTCGTCGGCTGTTTCTGGTGTGGGAGGGTCGAGTGTGGTGGATGGGTGAGAAGAGCCAGGCGGCAAGGCTTTTGGCTGTCTGTCTGGCTAGGGAGGGCAGCCCCTGTACACAGAGCACACACAGAGAGAGAGGGAGGAAGGGTTTCTGCAGTTGTATTTGTTGCCGGCCCCGCCGGGGTGGGATGGGCCGGACGGAGGAGCCTCAGGGATTTTTGCGGATGTGTGGTGATGGTGATGGTGAATCGCGGGGAGGGGAGGGATGGGTGGGTGTTGATCAGATTGAGACAGGGTAACTGGCAGGCATTATGGCGACCGACGTGTGTGTGTGTGTGTGTGCGGACCACTCGACCGTTCGTTGTCTGCCTTCGAAGGTCAGTCACATCAGTCACACTCTGTCGACAACACACAGGGCATTCACTACACACACATGCACAGAGCCAGCAGTAAACACATCACCACAGAGACAGAGCAGACAGAGCCCACATGGCTCGCTCACGTCGCCCACAGCACATCCCACAGCACTCTCGTCACCACCCAGGTCGTACTATCTCGCCCAGACCAAACTGACGCGAACCCTGACAACTCACACACACACATGCAAATGCATGCGCACGGACGATTGTGTAGGTGCATATATTGATTTCTGTCTCTCCTTTGTCGACGCACCTTGGCGCAGGTCCGAGGATCGGCGTAGAGCTTGTAAGGCCTTCCGAAATACCATGACGACGGACTCGACGCAAGCGCCAGACGACTGCACACAATCACACACAACCACATAGAGATCCATCCATCGACACAAGCAAAGCCCTCCGTCCGTCGCCGTGCTCACCATGCATAGCTCCCCCCCGCCCCGGAGACACCCCTACCACCACCCCCTGCACGCCCAGCCCTCACCCCACCCCTCTCAGGCTGCTGCGTGCCCTCAACCACCGCCCCAAACCTATGCCGCAGCTTGAGCATCTGTCTCGATGGCGACACGCCAGCATCAGCACGTCCGTGTGCATACGCGGGGTTTGGGGTGGCCGGGGGGTGCGTCACGGGACGCAGCAGCTGCGGCACTGGCCCCAGGAGGGTGGATGGCGGGGGCGAGCGGAAGGTCCATTGTATGGGGGGCTTGGCCAGGACGTATGGCTCCCACCCACTGGCGGGCAGAGACACGTGCACGTCGGCGTACGCATCTGCACAGCGCACACACCAGCGGACCGATCAATGCGAGAAAAGGAACCACTCAAGTCACTCACATGCCTCTTTGGGCGGCTTCAGCACGTGTCTCCGTCGTCTCCCAACAGGCAGCCCGAACTCAAACGACGACTGCCGACACACACGCCGGCCCCTCTGGCTTGTCTCCCTCCCCCTCTCCCTCTTCCTCTCAGGCTCGGCCACACCCGCCACCACACCAGCAGGCAGGAAGGTCGGCGGGTGGAAGGGCGGCTGATCCTGAGCTTCATCTTCATCCTCGCTATTCGAGGGAGGAGGCTTCGGCTGTTCCTGCCCAATGAGGCTGCGCGGGCGTGATGGCCGGGGCAGCTGAGGGGGCGGCCTCTTCTCCTGTCTGTTCCGCGGTTGGGCTCTTTCCGGTGCTCATCGCGTTCCTCATCGCTCTCCTCGACGGCCATCGGCTGCCGGGCGCTGCGAGACGTCACATAGGCGCTTCTCTTGCCAGCATGCAGAGCCACATCCCCCACACCCACACCCACACCAACGCCCCCCTTGTCGTCTCCCTCTATGTCGATCTGCCCCTCTTCAGCACTGTAAGCTTTGGCTTTCGGGCCGACAACAGAGGAGATCGTCCCTGCCTTCGGCTTGGCCGGGCCTGCTGGTGGTGGTGGGGCCTTCGTCTTTGCTGGTGCTCCTGGTGGTGCTGTGGATTGGGCGAGGGAGACCACCTTGCCCTCCACACTTCTCCGCCTCTCTTCCATCGCTGCTTTTGACTTTGGCGGCCCTTTCCCGACAGACGACACCGACGGCCTCAGAAATTTGGGGCTCTCGTCGATGGCAGCGCCTCCCTCTTCATCGCCAGGGACTGCAGGCATCACATGCATCAGCCATGCAGATGGATTCCACTCTCAGTCTCTCTCTCTCTCTGTCTCACATACACTTGGCGGTTGGAGGGGGCGGCGGCGGTCGTGGCGGCGCCTTCTTGCCTGGAGGGGCTGCTGCTGCCGGTTGCCGTGGTAGTGGTGGTGGTTCAGATTTCTCTTTCTCGCTGGCCATGCCGGCGGATGGTGCTGGGGATGGCGATGGCGGGTCGTAGCTGCCCTCAGACTCCTCGGGGGTGCTCGCACTCATCGGACAAGATGATCCTGACTCTGTCAAAACTCATCCGCACTCCCTCTGTGCGTCAGATGGAAGGGGTTCAAGTTCCCGCACACGGTGAGACTGCGGGTGGCCCCCATCCTCCCCGTCTCGCGCGCGACGTTCATAAAGGTCTGACTCTGACTGAGGGCTCAGTCCGTGCAGCTCACACGCACATATGACGGAAAACACCGCACGGCGCACACATGCAGTGACTGTCACTAGCAGTCACCTGCCGGCCCGCCTCTCCTTCTTGGCCACCCTCTGTGCCTCTTTGGCCTTCTTGGCCTCCTCTCTGGCCTTCTGCTCGCGGATCCGCCCCTGTTCCCTGTGTCATGCAGACAGACAGACAGAGATGACGACGATGCATGC